CCTCTGCAACCCAGGGAGGGTGAGGCCCTCCATGAGGGACCCCCAAAGTCAGTCATATCATCTGTGGCAGGGCCTAGGCCCTCCCCCATGAGGCCAGGCTGACAGAGTGTCCCTCCACTTGGAATGGGCTCCCAAAGTCCATTCATACACCAGTATAAATACTGGTCTACTACCAGAGGTCCTATAGAGTGCCGAGGCCTCCTTACTCACACTCACGTTCAGGGGCTGTGGATCAGTCCCATGCGGGCCTCTCAGCCATTAGTGTGGGGTCCATGAGCTCCCCCTCGTTCAGGTCAGCTGTTTATGTGGGTTTCACCAGCTCAGTCTTGACCCCTTTGCTTTTCACTCCTCCCTCGTTGCAACTTGATTTCAGGTGTTCACTTCAGTGTTTAGCTGTGGGTGTCTGCGTCTGTGTACATTAGACACTGGATGAAGGCTCTAGAGTGGCATATAAGGTAGTCATCAATCTCATTATTGGGGAAGGGAGTTTAAGGAAGCCTCTTAAGTATTGCTTAGATTGCCAGTTGGTGTCATCCTTGTAGATCTCTGGAATTCTCCCTAGTTCCAGATCTCTCCTCAAATCTATAATGGCTCCCTCTATTATGATATCTTTCATCCTGCTCAGGAGACAGCAATCTTAAATAAATAGTTTTCAAAGACTTGGGATAATGACAGTAGTCAGTTAGTAAGTGGTACACTATTCTTATCCTCCTTAAAAGGAGTCAGTATTTTCAAAGATGTGTTTCAAAGGTTTTCTTCGATTGAAATCCTTTCTAGCTCAAGCCTAATCAACAGAAGGGAAGGCCAAGCCAAAAACTATGAATGACCAACACATCTAGTAAGAGTTGATCATCAATGGGACTGTCATATGCACTAGAATGTCATCTCTATTGATTTCTTTCAATTTATTTTTTAAGAAGAGTTTGTTTTGGCTCATAGCTTAAGAAAGTATCCAGTCCATCATGGCAGGGAAGTGGTGGCAGTAAGAACATGAGGCCACACTGTATGTTTAGTCAAGATGCAAAGCTTACTTATTTTTATTTTTGTTTATATAAAGATTCAGATCAGTGGCATAAATGGTAAGAAGAGAGCTTGGAAAGAGTCTGTGGATGGAATCCTTTCACTGGTTATGATCGTGATGGAGAAAGGAATCTGGTTTGGGCAAACAGACAGAACTGGAATCCATTGAGAATAAAGTGAATGGGGCCATTTGAATTTGTCATGGAGAAATCATATTTATTAAGATATTAGCTGTAGGGCCCTTCTTGTGCCTTTCAATGGCAGAAGTGTAAATCATGATGCTGTGCTGGTACTTAAAACCATAAGAACAGACGCCCCTCTGCTCCAGGATAGATTGCAGTGTGTTGGGAAACAGCAGTACATCGTTTTATGGCACCCTCTTTTGTCCAATAGTAGATAACACTGAAATAGAATCAAGTCAATGACCAAAATATGAAAAATGAGTGTATTTCATATAAAAATATTTATTTTCCATCTCTGTTGAAGATAGAAAGATCTGACTCCCCTGAACTTACGTGCTTATTTGTCTTAGTAAATATGACTGCTGTTTGTAGAAAAATGAAGGCACTGCCAGGCAAATGCAGGTTAAATATGAGACATGCACAATATGAAAATTTCCCAGTCTACACAGATATTTGAGTTTTCCAGTCCTCTAGTGTTGTAAAAAGAGAAAGGAGCCATGATAAATTCCCAGAGAAGAAGGTCCAGAAAGGCCACAGTGGTTAAGAGAAAAACCCAAATCAAGTGAATCAGCAAAATCCAAGAGATAAGTCTCAAGGAGGTTTGTTAACAGCCTCAAATGACACAAAGAAGTCAAGTAAGGTAAAAGATGACAGTTGTCTTTGTGTGCAGCATTGAGGCCGTCACTGGTGGTATTGGTAAGAACGGCTTCTTCAGAGCAGTTGGGGTGAGTCGGATTTTAATGGATTAGAGGGTAAACCAGGGGATTCAGGGACTAAGAAATAGAAATGTTACATATATTAGCATATTACTTTCTATAGAAATCTGGCTGGAAATGTGTATAGCATCTCATCAAATGATCTTGTCTGTGCTCTTACCTCTGTGGGTAGTGATTTCCCAAGTTTTAGTTCCATTCTGCTCTACTTCATAGGATCAGTGGAAGGGTCAAATAAAACATACCAAAGCACTTTGGAAAATTTTCAGATCCATCAACTTGTAAGCACATGGTCACATTTAGAGTGGGTCTATTGTAGAATTGGCAGGACTGGTTTTTATGTCCTTTCACATTGTGGAACTAGTTAGAGACCTTGCTGGAACTCCCACCATATATATTTGCAGATCTTCTTTTAAACTTAGATCCCACTGGTCAACTGTGAGATGTGTGTAATCAGGCTAAGCTGCGGGGCCTTAGTACTCATGAAACTGAGAGTCCATGGTCTGGTCAATTTTTCCTTCAAAATGTGATCCTCTTCATTCATTTCAGGAATCTTTCAGAGCCTGTCATGACTTATAAGCTTCACAAAGAGCTTGTCTCTGCTGCCAGTAAGTATGTGCACTACTAGTTAAATTGTGTTGTCCTGCTTTCCTACCAAGTCTGTGGCAAAAAAGCTAGCAAACTGCTTTGAGGGGAAAATTCCAAAATAATTCCAAAATAATTAAGCCCATTGCTAAATTAGCATAATTTTGATTGCTAACTTTTCAAGGTAGGTAATTTTGATAACCAGTGTTAGCTGTATGCTTTCAAGAAAATTGGCTAACTAGAAGCATGTGGTGTGGACTTCTGGGCTCTTTCGGTAATTCACTTTGGAAGGCAGCAACCTTTGTACCTCACACCTAGTAGGTGGAGAAAAGGCTTCTAACTGGAAGCTTTGCTTGGGGCTTTAGAGACAGCCTGCTGTGTCTGTAATTCTGCCTGCCTCTGAGACTGTCTTGTCCACAAGCTTCCATTCCCCACTTTCCAGTGTCTTCTTCCCTGTAGGCCTGTATTTTGTTTCTTTTGCTTTTTAATCTCTCCTTGCCATTGTGGGTTTTGTTTCTATTTTTTCTCACTTATTCAGTCTGTCTGGGCTTATTTATTTTCCTGTTTCCACTCTCCATCTCTTTTACTCTCTCCATCCCTCTCCTTCTCTCTCCCTTTCTCCCTTTCTGTGTGTGTGTGTGTGTGTGTGTGTGTGTGTGTGTGTGTGTGACTTCAAAGCCAAACCATCTCTCTGTGTTCTCTCTGCCAGAATCTGACAACCTGGATTACCGTCTGGGGGCTATTCACTCCCTAGTATATAAGCTACCAGAAAAGAACCGGGAGATGCTGGAACTGCTAATCAGACACTTGGTAAAGTAAGTAGCTGCTTGGGTTTCAGAAAGAGTTTCTGTTGAGGGTCTGGCACACATAGGAGGACTAAAAAAAACTGACTCCCAACTCATTGAGCCCCATCCCCCAACTTTTTCTTGGGCCATCTGAGTATTCTTTGAGTGATGTCAATTTTGCATTCACCCTGTATGTATCCTAGAGTCAACAGGCCCCTGGTCCATTTTAGCTGAAAAGTAGCGGTAAGGTATTGTGCTGTGCACTAGGACCAGACATATACTTTACTGTCAGACAAGCCTAGTTTGGGATCCCAGTTCTACAACTTCTTTAGCTGTCTAATCCTAAGTGAGCCTCTCTGAGTCTCTATGCGTTCATCTCTATGAGGAAAACACTGATGACTATGAAGTAGGAGTGTCATGGGTTGAAATGAACATAGGAAAGCCAGTGACACAAGGTGAGCTCTTAAGAAGTTCGTTTTTTTTATTTTGGTCAGGCACAGTCTGTGTGTCTGTAATCCTAGCATTTAGGAGGAGAGTGTAGAAAGATTGTCAGTCTGAGTCCAGACTAGACCGTTATGTAGTGAGACTTTGCCAAATGAAGGAAAATAAAAGAAATTAAGTAAATAATGAGAGGAGGAAGAGAAAGGAAGGGAGGAAAAACAGGAGGATGGATGGAAGGAATTGGGGGGAAAAGAAATGGATAAAATGAGAGACACTAGGATCAGATCACACTCCTGGCCTGGTGTGGTAGGTGGCAGGAGACTTAGAAGGGGTACACATGTTCCATGATGATGCATCATGGCAAATATTCAATGTTGTGAGCAAAGATGATTTGCTTGGATCAAAACAAAGACAGAAAGGCTTTTATTGGAGTCTTTGTTTCAGTTCTGTTGCTAGCTCATTTGATTTGCCTGCCTGTCTCTAGTCCTCTCCTGGTATTTTAAGCAGTAATGTGTAATTAAGCTTAAAATTATAATGTACCCTAAACATATATGTAGCAAATAAGACTATTTGCATACTCCCAAACTTCATTGTGCTACACGGAACCTTATCTAGAGAGGTTCTAACACCTAAACTTCAGGCTGTTAGTGATGGTGAGATCTTAGACTAAGGACTGTCTTGGCTGATCCTGTGATAAGTATTGAGCACTCTGCCTATCTGGACCTCAGGTGTTCCTGTGATGTGAGATATCTCCTGAAATCTCATCCAGCTTGTACCTTCTAAGATTCTTTTTCATATTTCTACAGCAAATGGATATTAAAGATGCTGATATAGATAATAAGCATGGATAACAAAAAGGTAGATTTTGGTTTATTGTTGATGTCTGCAGCTCCAGCTAATAAAGAGTATTAAGAGACATGTTCTTTCCCAAATGTACTTTGATGTAATCTCAATAAAAATAGAGAAATCAACAAAGAAATTATTTACACATTAATTTGAAGTTGCTTTAGGGAAAGTAACTTTGATTTCAATTTCTAGGTCTAACTCTAATTTGTTATGTGACCCAAAGAAAGTCCTTCCACTCCTTGGCCCTCAGTTTGTTAATGTAGAACTTGCTCATCTATAGCTGGAAGGAGCCGAGTCAGCTTTTTTACGAGGCATTCTTTTAGCTGTGACTTTCTGAAAATCTAATATGTAACAAGAGCCCAAGAGCTCATGGTAATGTTTCTGCTGGTAGTGAGTGATGGGGTATCTTCCTCCACCTTCCCATCTACTTGGTTTGCATCACCATTCCTGCTCTTCAAAATCTTAAAAGAAAACAAACAAAAAAGAGATACATATGGTTGTATCACAGAAATAGGAAGACTTAGAAGTGTGGAACTGTAATACTCAATCTCACCATAGTGATGAAATGCAAATTAACCTTCTACTGAGTTCCAATTCATTGACACATTTAAATTCACATTTTCTATCAATGAGATTATGGAAAACAGCACTCTGATTAATTACAGTATTAGTTTAGTACACTCCTAGAGGACTGGGAGTCAGAACTATTTAACACATGTGCATATTAAGTTTCACTTTATTCTTCCAGTCACACTTTGGCATCTACTCTAAAGATACATCTCCACAAATGAAAAGCAGTGTTGGTTAGTGCAGCATAATTTTAATAACAAAAATTGGACATAGTACATGTCCCACAATGAGGACTTGTTGAGTGAATAAGGGTATATTCCACTATATAGTATTGTATACTAATTAAAAAAAAGAATAAGGACTTTGTCTATGCAGGAGTTTTTTCCCGTGGGATACATTATACATGTTAGGTTATAAAAGAAGCAACAACAAAAGATCGAAATCAGGGGGTGTAATACTCTACAGTTTTTTCTAATAGAAGAGGAAAATTAAAAATGTAAGACATAACACACTTGTTAAAAAATATGTCAAATGAAGCACAATGTTGTTTAAAAAATAACTAATTGATTCCAAAAGTTAAATATAGGGTTCTGAGTGACATGGGAATTCTGTTTCCTCACAATATACTCAGGGTAAATAAAAAAGAGATGTCCATGCAAAACCTTGCACACAGATATTTATAACAGCTTTATCCATAATTATTAGGGGTGTAAATAAGTCTAGCATCTGTCACTATATAAGTTGATAGACAAAATATTGCATAGTGATAAGGAGTTGCTGATACTGGGTGTGGTCATTTTTTATGGATCGATGAAAGCTTCTCGAGTTAGACATTGATAACAGTTATACTGCTCTATGAATATACTAACAGCCATTGAATCATACTCTTTCAAATGGGGAACCTTATTGCAGATATACCTTAACAAATTTATGAGAATGGCTATACTTGGGGAAAGGTATTAATGATATGTAGGGGATAAGGACAAGAATTAGATTCTTCTAAGTCACCTTCTGATATAGTTTTTATTTCCAATCAATGCTAGTTTGTACAAATCCAAAAATCAAATTAAAACAAATCTTAAGAATCCCAAAACAGGACACTGAAAAAGCAGATGGATGTTTGTCAACTTGATGTTAGAAGCACATAGAGAAAACAATTATTTCAACTGAGTTGTCAGCATATGCCTCTGACTCATCCTTAATGAAACAGCCTTGGAAAACAAGAAGAGCTACAAAGAAATTTTAAGCATTATCCTGTTGGTTTCTTAGTAATTATATGAATATGATCTAAAATACATACACATTTTACAAGGAAGAAGCAAATATGTATGCACATAAGAAGCTAAGCTTCATGATATAAGAAAAGGAGAACTGGATACAAAGTTAGAGATGAAGAGCAGAGTTTTTCAGTGTTGAAGGTAAAGGGGAATGTCTAGGAATTCACTATACAAAGTAAAAAAAATCCTTTTCAGCCTTGAAATGATTTCCCTTCCCCCCAAAATGTGAGTGTACCTAGTGCCCAGTTCTTTGTTTCTAAATACTATTCCTTTTTCAAAGGGAATAGAGCAGCTTGGAAAAGTAGCCATTCCAGATCTGGGGTGTGGAAACACAAGGTGAGCTTTGAGTGTATTATACCACAAAGAAAGGGATTTATTTGATAGGGATGACACCAGTGACATTTGGGAAACTTGAACATGAATATTTGCTAATAGCACATTGAAGAAGCAGAAACTCGTGGGGGAGTTGGTAAAGAAAGAAAAGCTATTATAGAAGAACAGCAGCTAATGAATGTGGGGGTGACAGCAAAATCATTAGCTTGTAACTGCACTGCCTTGATTTAAGCACTGATCAAATGATCAAAACAAACAATAACACTGAGAGATACATCATTTCAATGTATTGCCTCAGGCTCCTAATTATAAATGGACATGGTGCATCTTTACAATGAGGCTCTGTGACAGATACTGCCTTAAATCATTGGTCAATGTTAGCATCACCAATAATGTTACAAATTGGCCCTGTATGTCTCCTAATTTGATAAAGTGTGAAGTATAAAGCATAAACTATGAAATGTTTAAGATGAATCAAACTGAGAAACACAAGGTTACAAATGTAGAGAATGCTTACCATTCTATACCATTATTGACTTGGACTTAAAAAAAAAGTCAGTATCATGGGGAAAGAGGTAGGAATCCTAAGAAGCAAATGCAGTGCATGAATTTTGATTTTATCTACATGTGAAAAACTCATTTTAAAAGACTTTTTTTATGTCCTTTGACACTTGAGAAAATTTGAGTATGGCATAGATAATAGGTGGTGTGAAATTGCAAATTGTACACGAAAATCTTGTTATAGTCTGGTAGGAAATTTTGCTTTGTCTTTGAATGTTAATGCTGGTAGTTTAGGGATTAATCAAGTTACTTCCAGAGACTTCAGAAAACTACACAGAGAAAGCAAATGTGTCAAAATACTGAGTGACTACTGAAACATCCTGTGCACTGGCCAAATGTCCATAGTACTTGTCTTAGTCTTTCATCACTGTGATAAAATATCAGAACAAATAACCTTAAGGGGGGAATATTTATTTTGACCCAGCACTTCATCATGATCGAGTGGGAGCATGTCTCCCACCATAGTTAAAAATTCTATGGCCTGACAGAAATACTCATAGGTGATCTTTACAGTTCTGTGTTTCACATTCTATCAGTTGCTGCTCAGGATTATTTACCACAGTAACTATCTCCAAAAGTTTTGCGTATGTTTGAAAACTTTATAATCATATATTGTAAACAGTGTGAATTTAAAAAATAGGCCTAGTGCTGTTTGGAAAACTTATATGGGGGAAAAGGGAAAATTCACATGCTTTCAAAATGCATGCAATTATCCTGCTTGCCAGTCATTGCTTTCATGTTGTATATGTGATTATATCTGTGCCTTTGTAATGTATTCCTGCTCCTTGCTATTTTCTAGGTTAATAATAGGCATAGATAAATAGACCTCTGCCAATTTGGGGTTCTCAGTTCCCCAGTTCTTTTGTGTGTGTGTCTGTAGTTTCCATTAGGCACAGATAGGAGATCACTAATAGTCTCCTCTGCAGCTATCTCACCATTAATGGAATACTACAATGGAAGCAAATGTCATGCCTAATTCTACCATTCATACATGTGTTTATC